TTTCCAGAGGTACAATGACTGCCCATGCAGATGTTTAGAGGATGGAGGCCTTAAAATATACCAGGGCTGTCCAACTGGCAGCCAGCAGGCCACATGCGGCCCATGAGAGGTTCAGTTGTGGCCCCCAGTTCAGCTGTGAATCCCTCGAGCTGCAACAGCAGCTGGAGTCACTGGGCTCCCCCTTCTTTCTCCAGTTTCTGCTTTATATTCCCACACAACAGAATGGGATGTCGTGGCACAGCACAGTACAGGGAGCTCAGGGTGAAGCAAGGGGTGTGCAGCGCAACAGTAGAGGCATCCATGCAGGTGCATGCTGCAGATGAGGGGGGCAGGGGTGCCTGCACCAGTGCATATGCTGCAGTGGTGGCACAGTTGCACACTAAAGCAGGGTGAGGTGGCTGCACACTACAGCAGGGTGAGGGGCAGGCATGTAGTAAACCCAGGGTAGGGAGGCCTGGCCTGGGGGCCCATGATCTCCACTACTGTGCCTACGAGCCATGCAGCCTCCAGCCACTCAGAAGTTGGACAGGATACTGGAGGCACAGAGTGCATTTTTCTCTGTGGAACATGTTGCTTTAACTCACTGTATGTGGTTGTAGTCCTGCTTTTAATTTCAGATGAGCTTACTTTTTTATGTCTCATAAGTTTTGTGTGTTTTCAACGTTACTGAAAATTTTTCTTGAAATCATTTCCCTGGTTTCCCAACGAAAAACTTCTTTCTAAAATGGAAACCATGGAATAGTGTAGCTGTTGAGCAAAATGCAATAGAGAATTAGGTTTCATCCTACCCTAGTATGACCCCTAGGCAGAGAGATTCCTGCTTTCATGTTGTAGATCATGTGTAAAACCTGATGCTATCTGGATCATCTGCTGTTGGGTAAGAATATCTAGGGAACAGAGAGAGAGAGTGAGACATTTGCAGAAAGGAATTAAATGCTTGGGATGCAGTCCCATGCTTTCTACAGCAGTGAACATCAATCACACCTTCCAAGAACAGTGTAGCACTGAAAGTCTCCTTTTTTTCTCTTCCTATTTCCTCCCTTCACCTCTCCCTCCCTCTCTTCAAACATGCAGTAGCAAGTGTAATTTTAGCTTGAGAGTGCAATTTGTCCTTGAAAAAGCAGAGGCTTCTATTACGTTTTCTGGTTTATTTCTTTGTGTGTTGGGTCAACGACAATTTTTCTTTTCTTTTTTTCTTTTTTACTTTTACAAACAATTTTGTTTTACTTGTGACTTGTGATCTGAGATACTTAACTATTATTTTTTTAGTCTTAAGAGACAGTTTGGATAGTGGTTACATTTGAGATCATAAAGCTTCTAAGTGTTTATCTGTGGTCCACTTCTCAGTGAATTATTTGTCTATCTAGAAAATATTTGCATAAATTAGGAGGCTGAGCCATTATATATTTATTATTTTAGTATACACATGCTAAAAAATAGAGGACTCAGCATCGTTTAACAAATCATCTAGCATGTCATTATCCAAAAGATTTACTTAGGGGAAGCAGGTTATTTAGAAGGGTTGACAAGGTTGCATTTTAGGTACAAACCTTGGATTAGGAAAGTGTTTTCCAGTTTTTGAGTTTTCAACTTTTTATATTTTTTTTAGCCAAATTTAATTCTTGCAGAAAATTTGAATGAAGAAAATTTTCATTGGAATCTTTTGTGACGACATTTTAGAAGTTTTTAAAACTAGCCAAAGTGCATCAAAGGCTGGATACAGGTGGAAACATGCATCCATACCTTTTGCTTTCCTGTTGCTCAACCTTCATGCTAGGAATAAATCATATGCAGTTTTTTTATTCCATGGCTCCCAGCTCTATTCATATACTTATATTTATGGGCAGATGGGATGCAGACATTTGAAGCTTCCTAAAAGTTGTAGAACTCTTTAGCATTTTCCTCTGAAAAATGCTAAGACAAAGTGTCAGGGGAAAGCTAATTTAACTTTTTCAGACTTTTGATTAAAAAAAAGCTTCAGAAACACTTCCAGAAAGCTCACATTCCCTTCCTTCCATTCAGAATGTTCTCAGAAAGGCAGCACTGCATCAGTTACCCTCCATTCATATTTGGGAAGCTTAGATTAAGTATCTTGCTTATCCATGTAAGTTTTTGCTGTTTTCTTTGCACAAGCAGATTTAGCAGCTGTCATCTTACTCGTGTTGATACTGAATTGCACAGGACTTATGTTTTTTGTTTTGTTTTGGTTTTGCCCCATTCTTTGATCCATGATGACCTTAAGAGTATTGAATGAAATAAAAAATTAATTCCTTCCTTGAAACCTTGTAGAATACAGCATAAGCATAATTCATGTGTCAGTTTAAAATCCATGATTAAATCCAAACCAAGATTTGGCAAAACTAATTATTACTGGAAGTAAGTTGTCGTTTTATGCCTGCCTAGTCTGTTTGTTATAGGTTATATTTAAAAAAAAAAAAAAAAAAAAAAAAAAGACTGAATAGTTTTCTCCTTGGATATAAACTCAGTAGAATAATAGAAGTTGGTTTGGAAGTAAATCTTTTATGCCAATATATATTAAAAGGGTTTGTATTTTGCAGGCTGCCTTTCCTCATGAATCTGAAAGACCACACTTAATTGCTTATACAGTAGGTAGCAACTAGGAGCCTCAGGTAGGGATCCAGACCCCACAGTGTCAGATGCTGTACAAAAATGTAGTTCTCACTACGTAGTCCGCAAATGAAGTGTAAACTAAGAATATAAGAAGGCCTATGCTAGGTAAGATCAGTGGTTCATCCAGTTTGACAGTGGCAGGAGTGGATGCTCTAGAGGGAGACCATTGAACCAGATATACCTAGAGTGATCTATCCTCTATCCATTATCCTCCATGTCATCTACCTTTATTGGTTTAGAGACGCCAAAGAAAATATCTCCAGCCATTCTGTTCAACAGCTAATAATACCGTATTTACTCGACTATAAGACAACCCCATGATAATTGGACTCTTATGTGTGGAAATTTATAAATTTGTTATAATTTTCCAGGGAGGTTTGCCTTGAACTTGTTCTCCTCCCACTGCTACAGCAGGGAAGATAAATCGGGGGGGCGGTGTTATGCAGCTTCTTTGCCCTGTTTCCCCCCCCCCCCATCAGACCCTGCTCTCACTGAGTGCATGGAAGTGAGAGGCAAATTTGAGAACACTGAATTTGAAATAAATGTGCCTGTAGTAATTTTCACCTATGCACATTACTGTGGGGACCTATAGACCTGGTTCATCCAGACTTGATGCAGTTTACCCTTTTTGAAAGTACTGCAAGTTTTAGCACAGGTAATCTATAAATGCACTTTTAAACAACCCATTTGTATGATATTAGTCCAAAGCCAAACGGTTCATGATTTACTATATAGTTCACTGGGCTGGTTCTCAGCAGAGGCAACAGCATTTCAAGTTATGCTGACTGGAACCGGTGTTCTTGTCACAAATCCTGAGTTCCTCCAAAAATGTATATGGAGATGAGGTGCAGGGCAACCTGGTCTGGCCTCATCTCATGTAGGGTGGGGCCACACTAACCATCTGCAACAGGCTGAGAGAAGGGGTGACGGTGGGATTTTTGGTGAACTGTTTTGGGCACCATATGATGTTTGCCAGATATTTAAGGCTGGTGAAGAAACAGGAATAATTAGAAATGGGAAAGACAGGTGCAGCTCAGCTGTGAGAGTAAAAAGGATGTCAAAGTGTATTCTGTGTATAGTGGCTGCTTATGACTTGAAAAAGAGTCAGCGCTAAGGGGGATTGCATGCAAGGGATGCTTCTATACATCTTATTGAGATGGGCTGAACTAACCTGTCCTTGTGGTAGGTTCCAATGAGAATGTGTGTCCAATCTGGGCCATTTGTTCTATGGTCATGCTCAGCATTGGCTGCATTTTATCAGCTTTATAGTTAGTTTCCATTACTGAGCATGTGCTGCTTTTGGCATCAGTTTAATGATAGACAATGTGTTTAATTAGGTTTCCTTGTATACATATGTAAGATGAGCAGCTTTTTTCCCCATGCTGATTTGGGGCGAGGGGGGGAAACCTCACCTTATTTTTAAGTAAATACAGTAGTTCTATCATCCATGAATGTTTCTAGTCCCTTGTTGTCTCTGGCTATGCTGTCTGCCTCCTGTGGCAGTGGATTCCAGAAGTTAACTGCATGTTACATTTTTTTAAAAGTACTTTCTTTTGTTATTTTAAACCTGTCTCCTCCTAATTTCATTGGTGGCCCATAGTTCTAATATTCTGGGACCTGATGAATAACAGTTCCCTGTCCACTTTGTCCACACGCTTCATGATTTTATAGACCTCAGTCATATCCCTCCTCACTCTTCTCTTTTCCAAATTGAAGAGTACCAGCCCTTTTAGTCTTTCCTGGCATAGCAGTGCTCCATACCCTAGATCATTTTGGTTTTTCTTTTCTCTGTACCTTTTCTAATTCTACTACTTCACTTTGGAGATGTGGAGAAAAATGTACATGGTATTCAAGATGGGGGTGCACCATGCATTTGTACAGTGGCATGATGGTGTTCTCTGTTTTGTTTTCAGTTCCCATCTTAATGATGTCCAATATTTTATTGGCTTTTTTGGTTGACGTTGCACATTGAGCTGACTTTTTTTTTTTTTTTTAGGGTACTATCTCCAATGACTCCAGAGTCTCATTCCTGAGTTGTAACAACTAGTTCAGAGACAACTTTTTGCTGTAAAATAGACATAGTCATGCTGGGTCTGAAGAACTTTTATACTCAGCTAAAAATATTTGGATGCAGCTAATGAGCTGCAAAATATATCAATGAGTCTAGTTTACAGAAATAACTTAATGATTGTTTTCCTTGGTTCCTACATTTGCTGATGATGATCAACAGGGGAGAGCCATATAGTCTAATTCACAAGGATACTCGAGGCAAAAAACTGCAGAAGTAGAAGAAGAAAATCATTCTTGATGCAAATTTCGTGTCTGAATTTCGATAAATGACGATTTCTTTGGGTTTTTTTGTATTTTAGGTTGATATCAGCTCAGCTGCCAGAACTTTGCCCCACGACGCTGCAGAGTTCCACATCTTAATGGATTGCTGTAGTCTCCTAATTTCTCCATTCACCCAGTTTCCTGCCTCGTGAGAATATTAGCTAGCACAGAACCTAGAAAAGTTACATGTAAGTCTTAATTCAAGTTCCTTTTTCCAGAAAAAAAATAAATATCATACTTCAAAAAGCATTCTAAAAGCTGTAATTCAACAGAAAACATTAGGTTATGAATAAATGGATACTGAGGACTATTATTCACTTTTAAAACTAATTAGTGATTGTAATTTTGGCATTTTGCAGACCTTCGGCTTCCATGGTAAAAAACATGTTTTAAATTGAGTAGTTGGGGGTTTTTTCCCCCTTTTTTGTTTCTGGGTAAGTGTGTGTGTGCGCGCGCGTGTGTGCACACGCACGCATGCACACATACATGTGCATATACATGCATGGATGTAATTTTATTTACCTCAATGAATCCTAATGTCCAGCTTATGCCACAGCACGCTCGAACTCATAAAAGGCTGGCTTTTGATACTGTAGTTCCGTAGTTGCCCAGCTGTGTACATTTTAGGATAGAGTCCTTTCCTCTTGGTTCTACTTTCCGTCTTGCTTCCTCTTGAGTGACAACCGGTACATCACTGTTCACCAGATTTTATTTGGATATTGCAAGGCAAGCAGTGCCTTTTAAAGCTGAAGTTTTATTTTATCTATCTTGTGACTGCAACTTTTCTAGATGCTTTTGTTTAAGAATGTCAGTAATTGGTTAAGGGTTGATCAAAGACCACCACAGAGGCAGTAGAAAAAAATAACACAGTGGATTATAAAACTAGTCATTGGCAGTATCAAGCAGGAATAGAACCCAGGAGTCCTGAATCCTAGTCCTTCCTTTAATTATTAGATTGTGCTGCCTCCCTGCTGCTCAGTAATGATGTAAAAATGACAGGGGTCGTACATTAGCAGTAAGCATATGATAGTTCATGTGTGCTTTCATGCACACAGAGAATGAGAATATGATCTGCTGTAGGAAAAATTGCACATTGCTGTAAATGGTGCAAAGGAGTTGATTGAAGCCCCTGTTGGATCAGGCCAAAAAGGGACCAGTGATCTGCCTGGAGATGGGCTGAACCCGGTCTGGCCTTGTGAAACCTGTCAGCAGTTTTAAATCTGAAGGGAAGGAGCAGCAGAGAGAGGAAAATGGCTGTAAAGAGTTGTTGCCTTGTTGCAATGATCCTGAGTGCAACAGGGAGAATATAAAGGAAGATTTGAGCCTTCTTAAGGATGGAAACCCACAAGCAGGCAAACTTGGGAGAAAGCATGGGCTGAACATTTACCATATTTCCTAGTGTATGACGCAAGTTTCCCCTAAAAATCAGCCTGTCAAAATTGGGGTGTGTGTATTAAGTAGGAAAGCTGATTTTTTGCCTGGGATAAAAGAACTCTGCTTTGCTTTCTACTTCACTGTGCAACAGTTGTTGCATTACTATTTAAGCAACTAAGGGAGTCAGTTGACTGCAGTGATTCACATTGTTCTTCAGTCCAGAGGCACTAATGATTGGTGCCACTGATTAAGCTAACCTTTCTTTGAGGAATCTTGCTATATGTTCTCCATTTCACAGCCTTGGAAACTCTTTAGCCCTCTTCAGAATCATAGATCCACCCATCGGGAGGGGCCAGTCTTCAGAAGCAGGTAGCATTTCAGCTGTAGTTAAGCAGGCAGGGGAGGGTGAATCAGCTTGAAGATTAGGTTTGTCCCTGCTCTAGGCAGCCATAACTCTGGAAAAATCTTTTTTTCTTCATTCTGCCTTTCAAACACAGGTGTTCTGGGGCATACTGTACGTGAGAAAATACAGTAATAAAACTGAATCCTAATTGAAGAGTTTTTTTTGCTGGGATATGGATTGTGCTTCAGAGCAGCTTGAGGACTAGCATCTGAGCAGAGAGACAAATCTGAGCAACAGACTGTGGTGCTTACTGATTCTCAGCCCCCAGTATGCATTAGTCTCATCCGTGAACAAGAAGGAAAATAGGAAAGCTGAGCACGGCTAAAAAAAATGTCTTCAGTAACAGGAGAGAATATTTTTTACACTTGTTAAGATGCTCCTGCTTATGTTGCCCTCACTTTTGAGAGCAGAGATGCTGTCCCTCTGGAAAAGGCTAGGCCCTGCATTGCTCGTATTCCATGGCCCTGTCTGCACAGACGCATGTGACAACCAGCAGCTGGTCAAATAACTCTACCAGAAAAACGTTAGGGGAATCCATGGAATGAAAAATCATGCTGGTGCAAGGTTCAGGACTTGCTGTAGCCTGTATAAGGGCATCTACTGTCCAGGCTGCTAGTGTCCCCACCAGTAGGATTTAAATCTTGTTGTGTTCTTTGCAGTAGTCTTACTGTTACGCTGCTCATTGGCTGCTTACAGACATGGGGGGAAAAAAGCCCCAGTGCTTTACTTTCAGCTCAATGCACCCCTGCGCTGAATGCAGCGCGTGCCCAGAAGACGAATCGCATCAGCACGACCCAGCTTGCCCAGCATCTGTATAGCTCACGTGCTTCAGCTATTAGATAAAACTGATTAAATCAGCTATTAGATAAAACTACCAAAAAGCCCCGCTGATGCATGTGAGCTATGCAGATGCTGGTCAAGCCAGATCAAACTGACATGATTCCTCTTCCAATAAAGCATTAGTTTTTTGTTTTGTTTTTTGTTTTGTGTTGGGTTTTTTCCATGTCTGTCAGCACCCTACGTTTCCTCACTATAGCCATCAAAATAAAGGCCAAGGTATGAATTTTAGCAAGATCTTCGCAGGTCAGGAAAGCAGATAAAAGTCAAGGAAAACACTGACATGTTTATTTCTCCAATAAATAAGGGACTATGAACTGATATGTTGATCGTAGAGTTTGGCAGTCTTCCCTTATTTTTGTGCATTGGTGTAACAGGTTTGCAGTTTGCTATCTGGTCAGAATATTCTCATTGTTTTTGTTTTATTTCAGATTAGCTGAACCTTAACTAGATAATCAATGTGCATATCTTGGCCCCTGAACTAAAAATTCCTATTTAGTATGTGTGTGTGTGTGTGTGTGTATTCATATTCTGATCACTGGGTTTTGAACTATGTTGGCAAAATTCTGTCTTTTATTAAAACAGCATAACTTGCATGTGGCTAGAATCAGGGAGTTTTATACATTCTGTTAATGCTTTATCTAATACTGTTTGTATAGCTGAAAAGTAGGTATGCAGAACTTCATTGTAGCAATATGACAAAAATCCTTATCCATTGTATACCTGTCACTAGATTTTTTTTTCCAAATACATACTGAAACTCATTTTGAGAGTTTACATATGTATACACAGGCATGTAGTATGGATCAACTGGCTAATTCTAAAATTATGAGGAAGGGGTGTTAGTTGAAGCAAAAAATTGCATTAAAAAATCAGAGATGTTAGAAAAAGAAGTGTATTAAAAAGGCGCTAAAAATGGAGCTGCAAAAATGCAGATAGACTTGGTAGTAAGTGAAAGTCATTTTCAAACAGGTAGTAAGGGGCCTGCATAAAATTTTAACGGTGGCATAGGTTCAGTTGCTAATAGATGCAGTCTATTAGGCTAGGGACAGACATTCAAAAAGCCTGAGCCTTAATTGATTCAATCTTTGCAAGTTAGTCTAACCTGGCTAGGCTGAACCAGTTTGTGTCATACAGACATCCACTCTGGACTGAAGAAATGCAGGCATATGCCTGCAGTGGCTCAGGCTAGAAACCAGGGGGCGTGCCAGAGCAGCCATCCCTTCCCTTCCACGGTGCTGAGCTGAGGGAGGGTGTAGCCAGGCCCTGACAGGACATTTTGATTAGGGAGGTACCCCCTCCCCTCACTGTTCCTGACCAGCCAGCAGGGAGTTGACAACACAGTGTTTATCACCCCTAACTCAGTGTTTATCATCCCATTAAGAAAACAAAAGCCTCTCTTATTAATTCAAGTTCTTCTTAAACAACTATTTCCAAGGAAGGAATGGAGGGACCTTACCAGCTGAGCTGTTGATTAACTCCAAAAAACCGTAAGCAGACGCTGTCCTGTCTGCCTTTGTCCCGTCTGCCTTACAGACACCTCTCAGCATTAACTAGCACACATGCTGGCTACAGTCTGTGATGTGGGAGAGGGGAGCAGGAAATCCCTGCTTGAGCGGGGGTGGGGCCCAGGGAAGCCAGGCATACCTTGCTGTGCCTGCCATCTCTGCCAGAAGTCCAGCCAGGGAGCAGAGGGCAGAGGCAGCCCAGTTCTCTGAAACAGAGAGCCCCACCCAGGGCTGCAAAGCATCTGGGATGCTGGGGGGCTCTGGTTTAACTTAAACCAGGAAGGGGTCTGGGACAGACATTGCATAAACCGGTTTGAGCCAAATCAGTTATGTCTGATACTACATTCAGCCAGGTTTATCTCAAACCAGTTTCAGCCATTTTCAAACTGGTTAATGTGCACTGATCTTCTGTTCTGTTACAGGTTTAAACCAGCTTCTGGTCATTTAAACCTGTTTGTGTGTAATGTCTGTCCTTAGCCTTAGACTGCAAACTTTTATAATTTTATTGGTCTTACATTATTTGGTGCTTTTCATGAAGGCCCAGCAGCTGGAGTCATTTGACTATGTGAGTTTCTGATATTTACAAACAGGTTTCTATCCCTTTAGACTTGTAGGAAAAAGTTTGAAAATATGAATAATAAGAGTTCACAAGCAAGAAGGCCAACCAGGAAACTCATTTGAACTCCTCCTCCCCCCTCACATTTTAAAGGCAATCTCATGATTCAGGGGCATTACTTACGTTTAGGGTTTGCAATACTATACATTTATGTTGGACAACAAATTTAAAAATCATATCCTTAGTAACAGTCTTACAAACAGCAAGCATGGATCCAGATGCAGGGCTGGATCCAGGAGCTGAATGCACATGCATCAAAAGAATGATCTCACCCTTTGGTCACAGCTGAAGGACATTGGCCAGGAGTGTAAGGGGTACTGCCTGTATTGTGGATAATCAGTAGTCTCATCTGCAGGCAGAATTATAACGTTGGATCTCCAAATTAACTTGAAAAAACTGCATAGCTGGGAGAAATGTAAAATACTTAAATTAGTTTTGAGTGTTGGCATT